CTTTCTCATTATCTCTTGAATCTTTGACAATGAACTTATTGTTTTCACTATAAATATATCTCTGTGCTGTGGTATTAAGCAAGGAGCTGACCCTGCACTGAATCATACAAACCAATGTGTGCACTGTTCCCTTGGGGTCAGTGGACCTGGTATTTCTGTGAGCATTTGGAGACGAAGGGGCTGGACGCTACAGGTGAATGCTTCAAAGGGACTCAGGGACTGGAGTGTGCTATTTTTACCCTGAAAGGCAAGGTAAGGGCTGGCATAACCACCCAAGCACTCTGCTCTGGGCTAACAGGCTGGAGGTGTCAGGGAGCAGACACCCAGTTAAGAACAAGCAAGTCTCCTTCATTCTGAATGCAGAGGGGTAACAAGGTGATTCAAGTCCTGTACCCTGGAAACCATCCCAGTGAGAGACTTGACAGAGACTTAGCACGATCCTGAGGAAAGTAGCTGAAGTGATTCAGGGGAAATGGGACAGATTTAGTCATTTATAACTGTACCAGTGGGCATGGAAATTTTCAACAAGTCGCCCTAAATGTTGTGTTAAATCACTTTCTCCGGACTCTGGGAAACAACGTGAAGCGTGAAACCATCCTACCTCGCATAAATCAATCCCCACAAAATGCAAGTGTTTCCCTCCAAGGTTTTGTTCCTAGCAGGCAGCTTTTCCTTGCTTTTCTCCTCAAGGACAAAGATTCTTAATATAGCTCAACTGAATTTTTCACAGCCCTTGTTTGACTCAGATCTCCTCTTAAAGGGCCACAGGATTGTTTCTAGCCACCATTTCTGTGAAGAAACAGAACAATGTGATCCGAAAGTAGTATTATTAGAATTTAGATAGCAACATAAGTCTCCCTGGTGTGTTATAAAACAAGTAAAGATAAAAGTGCCATATCAATCAGATCCCTACACCAAGGATCTTCTAGACCAGTCCAAATGTCACACAGCAGTTGATGACAATAAACAAAGAATTTGGGAACACACACTCCTTTGGTCAGTACCAGGGGGCTGAGGGAGAAGAGGAGGGGATTTCATTGAACAGTTGATATAAAAAGAGTGTTTGCTTTTTAAGACACATTACTTTCCCCCCTAGGTTATCACGTTCATTTAGTCATGGTGAAAAAAGTGCCAGCATGCTTGCCCTAGAAACTGAGAGTATGTCTACACTACAAGCACACAGTGGCAGCTCTGCAGCTATGCCACTATAGTGTAGACACTTGCTACAGCGACAGAAGGGGTTTTTCTGTTGCTGTAGTAAATCCACCCCCGCAAGAGGTGGTTGCTAGGTTGACGGAAGAATTATTCTGTCAACCTAGTGGTGTCTACACTGGGGCTTAGGTCAGCGTAACTACGTCCCTGAGCAAAGTAGCTAGGTCAACTTAAGTTTTAGTCCTCTAACTTCACAACAGGGGATAACATGGGCAGCAGCCCCACCAGCTTATGCTGAACTGGAGTGAACTCCAACACAGGTCTTGTCAATACTAGATCTTTCCTTTCCCCCTAGAATTTCCCCTTGCTGATGCAATGGAAGCACTAATGTAGACATGCTACCAGCATTTTTAACCTTCATGTCATCTATTTAGATCCACTCTAAGCAGGATTATTCAACATTTTGGTTAAAGCAATAGCATCGGGTCTGCATTCGTGCTCATACTGTTGTTCCCATTCATGGAACTCCACTGGTTAGCAACAAGAATAGGAAACACTAAGGGAAAAGATCTAGTCACTTAGCAATGAGAGAAGTCTACATTCCTATTCAAAGCTTGGTCTCTGTCTAGCTGTCACAGAACTTTTGCTGATATGGTAGCTTGTCTCCTGGGATGCGGATGAGACCCATGACCTGGACAGACATGTTAAAATGTGTATGTGATTGTTAACGTCCTGCCCTACCCATTCCAGATTGATTTCTTTTTTTTTTTTGTTTTTTTAAAAAGCACTGTTACAAATGATGATCGCTCCTTAATGAACAAAATGCTCCTGGGTCTGTGCCTGAAGCCCTGCCAAGCCTGGCTAATATCATCTGTGTTGACTGTATAGTGTCTCCTCCTTCTGTCCAGTTAAAAAGCTCTGTCTGGTCAATTTGAACATCCCTTGACTTATTGAGACAAGCAGGTTATTAGCACAATGAAATAGCCCCTCGCTGCACATTATTTCTCACTGTACTTCCCCAACTCTCCTGACTCCGTGTCCTCTGCCTTAACCACAAGCCCACCCTTCCTTCAGTAGGTAGACAGGTAAGTAGTAAGGTAGGTTTGCTTCCCACCAAGCAACTAAACTTTACATTATGTCTCTGAGTCCCTAAAAGCAGATAGGCTGCCTTAGTTCCAGGGAAGCTGCCATCTACAATTAGCAAGTCAACTGTCTGGCAACTTTGCTGTCACACTGAGATCCTGTCCAGATCTCAGCAGGATAGTGAAAACGTCTCCTTGGAAGCGTTATGGCCTTTAGGACAAATTCCCAATAATCTGGTGTGGGAAGGGAGGAAACATATTAACAAGCAAACTCTTGTGATTAACTTTTTGTTTGTTAGCTAGAAGCACATGAATTGAAAACCAGATCTGACATCTCGGTCCAGTGCTTTCATGTTCACTTCAATGAAAGAAACCAACAATTGTTGGAGCAGATTACATAAACTGCCACCATCCCAAAGAACTAGAGTATGTGGTTATATTTCACTGGACAAGATTTGGGCAAGTTCTTTGTGGGCCAAGCCATGGCCAAGAATGGTCCACACAACAAAATCCCCACAATCTCTTAATGGAGGAGCAGCCAGAATGCAAAACGGAATTGGGGGCCTAATAGCTCCAAAATTTGCACTCACTTTTCATGACTCTACATGAAAATTTCAAAAGGAAGGGCACGTTGACCAAACCTAGTCTACTGTGCACATCTACAAGTTTCCTAACCACCAGTATTTACCTAACTCGTGTCATCTCTGGAGCAGTTACAGTATTGTACACATACAGCTGCCAAGAAAGCATTTTTAGACAAAAAGAACAGGAGTACTTGTGGCACCTTAGAGACTAACCAATTTATTTGAGCATAAGCTTTTGTGAGCTACATCCGATGAAGTGAGCTGTAGCTCACGAAAGCTTATGCTCAAATAAATTGGTTAGTCTCTAAGGTGCCACAAGTACTCCTTTTCTTTTTGCGAATACAGACTAACACGGCTGTTACTCTGAAACCTGTCATTTTTAGACATAAATCCTTTATTTGACAAACCATAACAGTGATCGTACAAGTAAGTAATTAGACTGTTAAATGGCCATTTGAGTCAATGGACAAGAGAAACTACTTCAGAGCAGTTACAAGTAGTTATTTTAAATGGGATCAAAATTCCTCCCTACCCTTCATAGAATCATAGAATATCAGGGTTGGAAGGGACCTCAGGAGGTCATCTAGTCCAACTCCCTGCTCAAAGGCAGGACCCATCCCCAATTAAATCATCCCAGCCAGGGCTTTGTCAAGCCTGACCTTAAAAACTTCTAAGGAAGGAGATTCCACCACCTCTCTAGGCAACGCATTCCAGTGTTTCACCACCCTCCTAGTGAAAAAGTTTTTCCTAATATCCAACCTAAACCTCCCCCACTGCAACTTGAGACCATTACTCCTTGTCCTGTCCTCTTCTACCACTGAGAATAGTCTAGAACCATCCTCTCTGGAACCACCTCGCAGGTAGTTGAAAGCAGCTATCAAATCCCCCCTCATTCTTCTCTTCCGCAGACTAAACAATCCCAGTTCCCTCAGCCTCTCCTCATAAATCTTCCTGGAGAGAATCCAGAAAACTCAGCAGAATGTTCACCATATCAGGTCTTGCCTTCACTAGCCTCCCTAAGGACGTTTCCTCTCTTTTATGCCGATGCAGCTGCATTTTTATCACGTTTTCTAGACCTGCTCTGGGCAGAGATAGCTGACATGATGATGAAGATGCCGATGCCTTATCTATTGACACTCCTGCTCCCACCACTGCAGTTGTGTCAATGCTATTGCACTGGGTTGGCGATTTCCCAACCAATCTCCCTCTGCATACACAGCCCATTGCACATCTGTGTTGAACTTCAACCCAGGCAGTATAAAAATAAAGAAATCAACAGAACTATCACACGGAAACACGGGCAAACGTTTTAGCAAAGGAGTGTTTTAAAGTCAAGGTGGGAGAAACAAAATGTCATTTCATTCTATAATAATCCACTCCTTCAAGGAAGCGCCTCGCTATTGTGTAACTATCAGCCTTATACAGAGATCTGTGCATAAGCGGATTTTTATTACATCCAATATTTACTTTTCTGAACTGTCTCCATATCTTAAAAAAAAAAAAGGCCGATAAGCTGTGAAACGGGTTTCCGCCTTTCAAAATAACCCGATTCTTGTCTGCGCTGCAAAAGAAAAGTCAGACACGTCTCAAAGTTGTTCTCCCCTATAGAGGACCCAAAAGACCCTTCGTGGACCATGAATTATGAGCAACCACAGGGCAGCAGGGCTCAGGCGGGCGGAGCTCACGCACCCCACTGCCGGATTTCAGAGCCCGGCCAAGGGGGGAGCCGGACCCTCCGCCAGCCCCCGCAGTCCTGCGCTGGCAGTCCCACCCAGCGCCCGCAGCGGAGAGGCAGGGGGAGCCTTCGCTTTCCACGCAGGGCAGAGAGGCGGCACCTCTTCCCGCGGCCGCCCCGAGGCGTACGCGGCCCCGTCCGGCCCAGGCGGGGGCTCGAACCCGCGGAACCAGGCTCCGCATCCCGAAGCCACAAGCATCAACCACAAACCCCGCCACAGAGCCACGGGAGGGAGGGGCGGGGCGCACGGGCAGTGAGTGACAGCGCGGAGAACCAATAGGAGTGGAGGTCACCACCAATCAGCGCGCGGGACGGGGGTGAAGCCGGCAGAGGGAGGGAGGCGGCCGTCCCCACCGGCGGCTCCTCGTCCCGGCGCGGGGCGCCCCTGACAGCCCACCTCCCCGCCGCGCCTCGGGGCACCCCGACACGGCAAAATGGCGGCCGTACCTGCTGGAAGCGGGGCTTCCCCAGCTGGAAAGGGGGGTACTCCGCCGGCTCCGCCATTCTCCTCACGCCCTGCAAGCGCCACCACTTTGAACGGCCTCCGCCGCCGCCGCCGGGTCCGGCCTCGCTGCCGCTGCTATTGGACGCAGCCCCCGCGGGGCACGCTGGGGGATGGAGTTCCCCCCCTCCCCGTAGCCGAGAGGTATCATGGGAAATGTAGTATTAGCGGCCTGGAGCAAGGTCTCCTGGGCAATGTAGTCTCGGCTTGGTGAGGCACGCTGGGAGGTGTAATTCAGCACTGGTGCATCATGGGGAATGTAGGCTGGGGAGTGGGAAGAGGGTACCATGGGAAATTGAGGCGGCAGGAAGGCTCCTCGGTTGAGAGTCCTATCCCACACACACACACACCCCTTTCGAGCACCCAAAGCAGGATATAGCACCGCCCAGGTTTAGCCTTCCCGTAGAGGGAGACAGAGGCAGGACCAGGCCAACCCTGACTGGGCCTATGACCCCAAGGCGGGGTTGCCATGCAGGCCTCTGCCTTGGGTCCTGTTTGAAAATCTGCCCCTTCCCGGGCAGCCTTGCAGAAAGTGTTCGTTTCAAGCAAGATAATGGGCTAGGGGGGAGGGGGGTCAAACCAGGACCCTCCTACAAACTCCAGGTCTTCGCAAAAATGGGATATACTAGGAAAAAATTTTTTTTTAAAAAAAGAGGAATGCCTGAGATTCACAAACCTCACCCCCTTTCGCTCCAACTGTATGGCCCAGTTCTTTAGCTTGCCTTCTCTAACAAATACACATCAACGTGTATATTTAAAAAAAACCAAAATTCTGTGTTTAACAAGACTTTTCATTGCACACACTGCTGTCTCCAGAGAGAGGACAAAAGACCAAACACCACTTCACAGCTGTTAGTTACAGAAATGTAGGGTTTCATAGACTGTCATAGAAATGTAGGGTTGGAAGGGAGCTCAAGAGATCATCCAGTCTGTCCATTTCCCCCCCCCCCCCACTGAGGCATGATTAAGTACATGTAGACTATCTCTGAGAGGTGGTTGTCTAACCCATTCTCAAAAACCTCCTAGGACAGGGATTCCACGACCTCCGTAGGTAACGTATGCCAGCACTTTATCCTTTCAGCTGTAAAATTTTCCCCAATACCTAGCCCAAATCACCCTTACTGTAAATTAAGCAGATGGCTTCTTCTCCTTCTCGCAGTGGATACAGAGAACCAGTGATCAGAGCCCTCTTTATAACCACGTTTTACATATTTGATAAAATATCTCCCCTTCGTTTTTCTGGACGAAACCTTTCCTTAAAGATCTTGTTTTCTAAACCTCTTATTGGTGTTGCTCTCTTCTGCTCTCTCTAATTTAGCCTAAACTTTCCTAAAGAGTGGAGCCCAAAACAGGCACAGTACTCCAGCTGAGAACTCACCACTGCCGCGTAGAGCACCACTCTACTTAAAGTGTCAGTGGAAGGCACTCATATACTATGGTGATGAGCATGGTATAAGAACCTATACAGAATGAGGAAAGAGGCATTGTGGGAAATACAGGATTTCCTTTTAGGTAAAGAGGAGGGTTGTAGCTCCTTCACTGAAGGAGAAAACTCTAGACCAAGAGAGGCTAGAGCAGAACCCTACTCATCGATTGCTACGGAGTCACACATCCAACCATCTGGAATTTAGGAGGCAGCACCTTGCCCAAAGATTTTCTTTGAAAACAATGAAGAACATTGTGCCAGCCATGCTCTGTTGAGACCAGTCTTACACTACTCCGTCACAACAGAGGGGGACACTATTTGCCCCATTACAATGTCATAGGCTTTGGAAAGGAGTATGGGACCTAGGAGCTTTCCATGGGATAAGCCTCTTACAATCGTGGCTGTGCTACCTACTATGATGTTCATAGCACCCTGAGTTTACTTGATGCTGAACAGCACAGCCAATGAATTGGACCAGAACAGATACAAGCCTCTGGTACAACACCAGCTAAGACACCCAGCATGCAAAGTGGTTATTATAGCAGAAACCCTTCACAGCGGAGCCCCTTACCTATTTTTCAGAGGACTTTCAGAATCACCTGAAGGAAAAACCACCCTGTCCCCTTCCTCACGATGTTACCTCTTCTCACCCGCTCCATTGTTTTCCTTTTTTAAAACAAAAAGGCCCAATCAGTTTAGCTACTAACGGGGCTCCAAAGACAATGGACCACAGAGAACCCAGTGCGCTGGGAGTATCTCTGCTTCCTAGAACAAACACACTGTTTTGGCAAACTCATTTGCACCATTAAGGCTCATTCCCCATGCTGTGTGATGGTTGTATCCAAATGCTGACTGTCCAATTCTCAGTGACAGAGATGCGACAGGCAGAGTAAGCACAGTGAGACATGGATGCCACAGTACCAGGGAATCTTCCACTGAATGACAGGCATTTGCATTAACTTTAAAGACACAGTTTGAGCAAATGCAAATACATAGGGAGGTGCTAGACCAGCTTGTTGAGCAAAAAACAAAGTGAAGATTCATCTGTTCTCTTTGGGGAATTTATAGCTCACAGCACACTGGAAGCACATCAGCTGACATTGACCTTTAAAATGGGTGATAGAGCAGGAAGCTTGAAAATGCAAATGAACACAGGTTACTTGATCTAACACCTCAGTTTCACAATTCAGAAAAATAGATGCACAACACCAAGGTTTGGGTGGAAGAGGGACAAATGTGTTCTACATGAGGCACCCGCTAGTTTAGAGAGAAAAAACACGAAGGGGAATATAGCTGAAGAGACTTAGAGGACAGGAATCAATTATGTGCAGAATAGTAACAGGCCAAGAACTATGCTGGAGACAAAGATCAACCATGCTGGAGACAAAGATCAAATCGTGGAAGTCAATGAATGGCTACGCAGGTGGTGTCGGAGAGAAGGCTTTGGATTCTTTGACCATGGGATGGTGTTCCAAGGAGGAGGAGTCCTAGGCAGAGACGGGCTCCACCTAACGAAGAGAGGGAAGAGCATCTTCGCAAGCAGGCTGGCTAACCTAGTGAGGAGAGCTTTAAACTAGGTTCACCGGGGGAAGGAGACCAAAGCCCTGAGGTAAGTGGGGACGTGGGATACCGGGAGGAAGCACGAGCAGGAGAGTGCGAGAGGGGAGGGCTCCTGCCTTATACTGAGAAAGAGGGACGATCACCGAGTTATCTCAAGTGCCTGTACACAAAAGCAAGAAGCCTGGGAAACAAGCAGGGAGAACTGGAAGTCCTGGCACAGTCAAGGAATTATGATGTGATTGGAATAACAGAGACTTGGTGGAGTAACTCACATGACTGGAACACTATCATGGATGGGTATAAACTGTTTAGGAAGGACAGGCAGGGCAGGAAAGTCGGGGGAGTTGCATTGTATGTAAGAGAGCAGTATGACTGCTCAGAGCTCCAGTATGAAACTGCAGAAAAACTTGAGAGTCTCTGGATTAAGTTTAGAAGTGTGAGCAACAAGGGTGATGTCATGGTGGGAGTCTGCTATAGACCACCGGACCAGGGGGATGAGGTGGACGAGGCTTTCTTCCGGCAACTCACGGAAGCTACTACATCACACGCCCTGGTTCTCATGGGAGACTTCAATCACCCTGATATCTGCTGGGAGAGCAATACAGTGGTGCACAGACAATTCTGGAAGTTTTTGGAAAGTGTTGGGGACAATTTCCTGGTGCAAGTGCTGGAGGAACCAACTAGGGGCAGAGCACTTCTTGACCTGCTGCTCACAAACTGGGAAGAATTAGTAGGGGAAGCAAAAGTGGATGGGAACCTGGGAGGCAGTGACCATGAGATGGTAGAGTTCAGGATCCTGACACAAGGAAGAAAGGAGAGCAGCAGAATACGGACCCTGGACTTCAGAAAAGCAGACTTTGACTCCCTCAGGGAACTGATGGGCAGGATCCTCAGAGAATAACATGAGCAGGAAAGGAGTCCAGGAGAGCTGACTGTATTTTAAAGAATCCTTTATTGAAGTTACAGGGACAAACCATCCCGATGTGTAGAAAGAATAGTAAATATGGCAGGCGACTAGCTTGGCTTAACAGTGAAATCCTTGATGATCTTAACCACAAAAAAGAAGCTTACAAGAAGTGGAAGATTGGACAAATGACCAGGGAAGAGTATAAAAATATTGCTCGGGCATGCAGGAGTGAAATCAGGAAGGCCAAATCACACTTAGAATCATAGAATATCAGGGTTGGAAGGGACCTCAGGAGGTCATCTAGTCCAACTCCCTGCTCAAAAGCAGGACCCATCCCCAATTAAATCATCCCAGCCAGGGCTTTGTCAAGCCTGACCTTAAAAACTTCTAAGGAAGGAGATTCCACCACCTCTCTAGGCAACGCATTCCAGTGTTTCACCACCCTCCTAGTGAAAAAGTTTTTCCTAATATCCAACCTAAACCTCCCCCACTGCAACTTGAGACCATTATTCCTTGTCCTGTCCTCTTCCACCACTGAGAATAGTCTAGAACCATCCTCTCTGGAACCACCTCTCAGGTAGTTGAAAGCAGCTATCAAATCCCCTCCTCATTCTTCTCTTCCGCAGACTAAATCCCAGTTCCCTCAGCCTCTCCTCATAAGTCATGTGTTCCAGACCCCTAATCATTTTTGTTGCCCTTTGCTGGACTCTTTCCAATTTATCCACATCCTTCTTGTAGTGTGGGGCCCAAAACTGGACACAGTACTCCAGATGAGGCCTCACCAATGTCGAATAGAGGGGGACGATCACATCCCTCAATCTGCTCGCCATGCCCCTACTTATACATCCCAAAATGCCATTGGCCTTCTTGGCAACAAGGGCACACTGTTGACTCATATCCAGCTTCTTGTCCACTGTCACCCCTAGGTCCTTTTCCGCAGAACTGCTGCCTAGCCATTCGGTCCCTAGTCTGTAGCTGTGCATTGGGTTCTTCCGTCCTAAGTGCAGGACCCTGCACTTATCCTTATTGAACCTCATCAGATTTCTTTTGGCCCAATCCTCCAATTTGTCTAGGTCCCTCTGTATCCTATCCCTGCCCTCCAGCGTATCTACCACTCCTCCCAGTTTAGTATCATCTGCAATTTTGCTGAGAGTGCAATCCACACCATCCTCCAGATCATTTATGAAGATATTGAACAAAACCGGCCCCAGGACCGACCCCTGGGGCACTCCACTTGACACCG